TCACAATAGTCAAACCAAGGTAAAACGAGAGCCTCATATATGGTAATAGCTGTCTCCAAGGGGATGTAATCGCGGACAGACAGACAGACAGACAGACAGACAGACAGACACACCTATATTTGAAAACGATAGTTCCATAAGTATAAAACTTCTTTACGTGGAAGTCGTTATTGATTAATAAGATATAAATACATAATCCTAAAAAGTTGAAAAATATTAGAAATGATTTAAATAACAAAGAGAAAAATCCTACTGAGAACTGACAGCACGCCATCTCATCAGACGTTTTTTAAATTCATTCTTTGTTGGAGCAGATCTAATTTCAGAGGGGAGAGAGTTCCACATCTTAGCCCCTCTGTAATAAAAGCTACTCCTGAAAAAGTCTGTTTTTGGGATGTATGGTATTGGAGAGACAGAGAGAGAGAGACAGACAGGGAGACAGAGAGAGAAACAAAGAAATAAAGAAAAACGGAAAGGAAGGAAAGAAGGAAGGAAGGAAGGGAATCTAGGAATAAAAAGCAAACAGGCAGTTTATAAGAGGGAGGACGATAAATGAAATCACATTACTCATAAAATGACCGCATACCTTTATGTGACGTATGAGTATTGCAAAGTCTGCCAAAGCCTGCTCTGATGTCAGGTACCCTAGATATTTTGGACTCTGAAGAGGAACAGCTTATACAGGTTAGAAACTGTGTCGACGTCGTTTGAAGATGATGTTTATGATCGTGATTATAGTGATGATGCTGATGCTGCTGATGATGATGGGTGGTGATGATGAAGGTGTTRATGTTGATGATGATGATGATGTTGACGATTCTATAGTAATGATAAAAGGGTACATTTTACACCGTGAAAAGATTTTTCGTCTTTTTGCGGTGTAAAATTTACCCTTTTATCATTATTGTTTCAATAGAAACACCGACGCAGTTCACACTAGTTTTTATCTCTTCTTGATACTATACAATGGTGAAAGCAATGGTAATGATGATCATTACGTCTTGTTGATGGTATCGTGTTGTTATCTTGCTACATGTCAATAATATATGATCACAAGCACTAACCTCGTAGGACTTTTTCCCAAAGGGCAGCGTTTCTCCATAATATCTATGTTCACCAAACACCAGCATGGCTCCAAACTCCTCGGCATTATCCCACATGAATCCCTGCAGACATAAGGGAATGACGCACAAAACAACTCAGTAAACAATGAAACTCATGCGTAAATAGAAAAAAAGGGAGAGGCTGAGGGGCTGGCGCGAGGGTTGGGAGGGTGGGGGGCATTTAATTTTTAGATCTTCTTTTAGCTTTTTCTTTTTAATTTGTTTAAGGAAACAAAGGGACGAAGATGATGTATACACATATATATATATATAAGAAATCTGTGAATGAATTTTCCGTAAAATAGTGCTCAATACATCGATAGAAGTAGAGCAGAATATTTGTTTGAGAAGAAAAAGTCAAGACAACATTTTTCCCGACAAGCCTGTTTCGTGAATTGCTTCACTCTTCAGGGGATTAAATATATATATATATATATATAAGGTTGAG